TATATTTACATATTTTAAAAATATGACAACAAATCCCTACCTGATCCTGGAAAGCGTTAGCTTGCTCTTCAAATCCTGTAGCTTTAAAATAATTGACCACATCCGCTACGGCCCAGTGGGCTGGATCAGAAAGCTGCCCGTTCTCCACAGAACTGTTAGGGAGAGAAAAAGATTTCACTGATGCATTAGCATGATTTAACCAAATACTGTACGTCTATACAATCTTCAAAAGAGTTAGTCCACCCAAAAAAGAACATTTTGTCATCATTTACTCACTCTCATGTTGTTCCAAACCCGTAAGACTATTGTTTATCTTCGGAACACAACAAAATATATTTTTAATTAAATCTGAGGGATTTCTTCTCCCTCCATTAAAACTCGGACACTTCAAAACATGCATAAAGAGATCATAAAATAAATCCATATGAATCAAGCGGTTTGAATCGACATGAGGGTGAGTAATTTTCACTTTCGGTTGAAGTAACCCTTTAAATCTACTGTAAAATATCACTAAATAGGTGTCCTGAGAAATCACACTGTCTCTGTAACAGCACAAAAGAATATGGGAGCTTTGTATTTATTTATTTTTTTAGCCAAATAGACACCGTTCTCTGCATTTTACACATTTGTATATGCTGATATTGGGTTGACTAAAATGTATTTGGAGGGCAGAGTTTTTGAGAGAGGGTGTGTGCTGAAGTTGCTTATAAAATTTGCACAAAACATCTTGTTCAGGAAAAAAAAAAGTGTTGTAATAATATTCAGATCTTTAACAAGTGACACTTTGTGAACATAAAATCAGTGCTGATTCCTTTGACAACAGTTAATCGAAAATGGGCAAAGAGGCGGGAGTAGGTTGCTGAAGCCACGCCCACCTAGCTCGACGGTGGTGACAGCAGCAGCAATCCACCTGTCACTCAAGTGGCCACGCCCTTAATTATGCAGAACTTTAAGGCTTAATATAATTTAAAAGGATGAGTTATAAAAAAATTCACCCCCCTCACAGTTGTCATGAAGGGCAAAATTAGCTATATAGACCAAAACCACTTTTTGTACCAGACTGTAAACATATTTTTCTTCTGCTGTAAAGTCTATGGGACGGACTCCCTTTTGGAGCCAGCCTCTAGCGGCCAGTCAATGAATTGCAGTTTTAGTCACTTCCGTGTTGGTTTCAACGAGAGAGACCGGAAGGTTGCCGCTTGGTCAAAACGTGCCCTGTGATTTCTTATACTGTGCATACAGAAAAGACACAACTCTGATATGTGTTTAAATACTGTACATTATTAACTAGTTGTTTAGTTTTGTTCCGTACATACTGTGTAGAATTTCTGTAAATCCAGTTGTTACTATGAATTTTTCGGGAGTCAGTTTTGTTTGTAAAATGCAGTTGTCACTCCTGTAAAATACTCCTGTAATAAAGAACTGAGTGTGTACAGAACAGGATTAAGCACTAAAATGTGAATTGATAACTGAATGTGTACGTGGCCATCGAGTTGACTGAAATTACCCCCAGCTGTGTTTTCGGAACTGATAGCCACGAGTAAGAAAGGTTTGAGTTAATCAACCAAGAGTTTGGGGTTTATGTGATGGTAAGTTAAGGTTTCAGTAAGTTTTTCTCTTTTTTCTTGACAAATTACACTGCAAATAAGTAGTGCCAGCTGTCAGTTGATGTCACTGTTTGTTTTGGTTCAAGATATTAGTTGATTATCACGATATATTGATAGTTCACCAACATTTCCAGTTGTGCCTGACCGATGACTTATAAAAAAATTCACCCCCCCTCACAGTTGTCATGAAGGGCAAAATTAGCTATATAGACCAAAATCATTTTTTGAACCAGGCTGTAAACATGTTTTTTTCTGCTGTAAATTTGGGCATTTTAACATGGGGAGTCTATGGGATTGACTCCCTTTTGCAGCCAGCCTCTAGCGGCCAGTCGACGAATTACAGTTTAAGTCACTTCCTTGTTGGCTTCACCAGAGAGAGAGTGGGAGGTTGCCGCTTGAAAATAACTCCGCCAATGTGGAGCATATTTATTTAAATGTGATTTTTTCCCCCTCGAGAATTGTTTTACACAAACTGAAGGCAGAAAATGAATTATTTCCAAAAATTGTCCATTAATTGGGAAGACGAAATAAAAAATCGTTAAATTCCGCATTGTTTTCATTTCTACAGGGGAAGCAACAGCAACTTCGAGGATGGCTAAATAAATGGATTGAGAAGGCAAGCTCTACTTTTCTGAGTCAGAGCCAGTGATGAAAATACTATTTCTGGCCTACTGGTTTTGATGAGTACTGTCAAAATCCCTTCATGTGTAACATGAAAGATTAAAAAGTACAGTAACAACATAAAATTAAGATGACAAGACATTACTAAACGTTTCTCACTCAAATGTAATTGTTAAAGACTTGGACTCAACAATTCTGTATATACACCTACCTTTTGGTGTCCACTGAACCATTTTCCTTGGTTTCCATGACTGCTGGATAAAATAATAATAATAAAACAAAGTTTAATACATTCAATTTTAGTCTATCATCACTGTTGTAGATTCTAAGAACTACTACAGTATGGGAGATGCATTATCAAAATTCAATAAACTGTGTCATGTTTAAGCAAATTCTAAATAATTTATTGAGGTGCATAACAGAAGCTCTGCTTTCTTTTGAACAATAATCATCTTATTAATCTGATTAGCGCTGATCTATTGCTCACCTGTTTGTCAGAGAGCTGAGACTGCTCTATTCCATTAGATGTGTTGAGTTGTCTCCTCATCAGTCTCCTGCTGTGCAAAGCTGCCCCATCTTCCAGAAAGTTTATGAATAAATCTTGGTGTACTTAGAGAATTGATTCTGCAAAATAATAAAAGATCTGAGCAATAAAGAAGATGATCAAGCATTTATAGTTCAGTAAGTAGTTCAGTTCAGGTCCGTAAGACAAGAGAGACATGTTAAACATGCAAAACTTTATCTGGTTAAAGGTTATCTGTCAAAAATAAAACATATTATTAACAAATAAAATATATTAATATTACGGTCATCGTTACAAAACTACTACCATCGCTATTTTGATATAAACAGCTTTTAAATGTGAAAAACAGCTTGAGCAATATATCACATTTTTGAAGGAAATTAAATAAGCATTTCTCTTCACATCTGTGCTGGTTCGACAGGTTCCGTGTTTATGAAGAGAAACACGATGAACAAAATGACAGCCATCATTTTTAAACCAGAAAAGATATTTTTAATTGTAAATAAAGTATTTAATAACTTATTATAAATAAAGTATCCTTGATTTTTAATAATTGAAAAATGCCGTCTGAAATATATTTATATTAGCAAGACCGAATGTATCTGTAACTGCATCACTGAATTCTGACAGGTTAAACAGAAGTATTGGATCATCAAATTATCTATTTAATATATTACAAGTGTTTTCATGATGAATTTCGACAGTGTGATGATTAATGAAGCAGACGATAAACTCATTAGCTAGCTAGCTTCCATTAACTAAACATTTATGACATTTGCCGTCTTTCTGAGAAAACAAACGACAATTTCCAATTATTTGGATGAAAAGCTTTTATCTTACCAATTTAACAGATGTTGTATGTAGATGCTTTGAATGTTATTGATTCTCGATCATTGGAACAATATTACGCTTTTTTCCCCAAGCACAATCCGACAAATGCAGGCGCGGGGCTTCATGGGTAATGTAGTCTCGAACGATGGGAAATGTAGTTGTTCACAATCTTGTTGCAGTCTCTCCAACAATGAACAAGGCAATTTCAATTACATCAAGAAAAATAAATAAAGAATAAAGGGTAAATCAGCATCTTGACAAGCAATTAGCATACATTAATTGCAACGGACAGTAATTCACAAAGTCTTTTTTGCTTTGTTATTTCTTGTTTCTGTTGATGTGTGAAGGTAGTGACCTATTTCTTCAGATGAGTAAAAGTATTTTTTTTTCAATGCCCATTTACATTTCCCATATATATAATGAGTAAATTCACAATATACCTTATTTTAAAACCAAAACAATTATCTTAGAAAAAATAAAATAATGCCGTCAGACTACTGACATTTTGACATAAAAAAATAAAAGTTATAATGATGATAATAAACAAATAATAAATAAATAAATAAAAAAGCCATAAATTGTTAGTTGTTATAACAGGCTTTTAACACCAACTAAAATGCATTAACATTCTACTTGCATAATATTATAATATTTGCATCTTTCACAATTATACTCACAGACAAACAGAAGTGACAAAAGGCATTGGACATTATAAAGCAATGTAAATAATTTTCTTTAATTCAGTGTCAAAATAATTTGTCCCAAAATTGGACATCATAATCTCTACAGCAGATATAACATTTCTCTTAAAAGAAAGTATTCACATGGTCCATATAAGACGACAGATGAGAAGGTGCACAAATCAAAAGCCTATTTTCATTTTCAATTTCAGTGCAGTTCAAGACTTTAGATGAAATATCAGGATCATATATTTTTAAATACTTTTGATATTTCTGAACAACCAAACGCTTTCTTCAGCGCATATATTCCACAAACAGATATCGTGCACACACACTTAAACATAATGTGGAATTGAGCTTTTCTCATGTATTAATACTGAACATATACTGCACATTTGTAACACACATGAGTTAAAAAAAAATAGTTCAACGCAGGAAAAATATGCTTTATTCATTTAATAAATTAATTAACATATAAAAGATGAACACAAGTACAAAATCTCAACTTTAATCATAAATGTTTCCAAACAGAAGAATATGTGATCTTTTTTTAATGCAGTAGACTAAACTTCACTGATAAAGGCACCTGTGAATTTCCAAATCTCCCCAAGTCTCTTTGAATGAAGCAATGTGGAAGGAATTGTGCTGTTCTTGGATTCAACTTTGAAGGTGCATAACAAGACAAAGTACCCATGTAAACTTTTACTAAAGCCTTTACAGAGACTCTAAAACTCCAAGAACTCTTTTGTACATTTCTCTGTGACAGATAACCGGATGTCTTCCTCGTCGTACTCATCAAAGTTACTGGTGTCTCCAGGTCCTCTGCACTTTGGTATGATGGGAGCATCAATCTGTAAAATCATTGAAAAAAATAAACCAGCTTATAAGAACAGTTCTCAAGAACCAGTTCAAAAATTGAAACCTGAAAGAAAACAACAAAGGTCCCACCTTCTTCTCAAAGATTGCAATCCAGTCTGTTGTAGCGAACCATCTGTGGTTTTTTATGTCGCTGACTCCATTTTTCAAATTGCCAAAGCGTTTCGTGAGGTCCACCTGCAGCAGATTGTGCAGAAGATCCTTCAGGTCTGAACTAAAGTGTGAAGGGTATCGTACCTGTGGAAATGAAATATTCACATCTGTTGGAAATGTCTAGAACATTTGGGGGATGGCATGAGTTTAATTGCCTCTGCCATTTATTCGTTTAATTGGTCTTTTTTTTTCTTGTTCCCTGACTGTCAGTAATGTTTAACTTTTGTTAGCAGGGGTTTTAAAGTATGCACAGAACAAAACGATCCTTTGGAACAACTTAAAAAATACTCAAATTATATTAATGATTTTTTTAAATTAATGATTTATTTAAATACCATGCACGCCAAAGCGTTTTGTGAGGTCCACCTGCAGCAGATTGTGCAGAAGATCCTTCAGGTCTGAACTAAAGTGTGAAGGGCATCGTACCTGTGGAAATGAAATATTCACATCTGTTGGAAATGTCTAGAACATTTGGGGGATGGCATGAGTTTAATTGCCTTCTGCCATTTATTCGTTTAATTGGTCTTTTTTTTTCTTGTTCCCTGACTGTCAGTAATGTTTAACTTTTGTTAGCAGGGGTTTTAAAGTATGCACAGAACAAAACGATCCTTTGGAACAACTTAAAAAATACTCAAATTATATTAATGATTTTTTTAAATTAATGATTTATTTAAATACCATGCACTGTAGAAAGTGTTCTGGATTTACATTGTTTATACATGTACATCAGTTGCACATCAATTAAGTAATTTGTTCACATGACTTCCAAATCATTGAATTAAGTTATTTTGAAGTGACCATATTAAGTAGTCTTAAAGTAATTATGTGTTATATTATGTTGCAAAACTGTTTTGTTACATCACTGAATTATAAGATTGTACTAACTAACTAACTAACTAACTATTAACAGACATTAGCACATATTAGCATAATAAATGCAAATTCTGCTCCTTAGAAAATCTTATTCTATAGGCCTACATATCCATCCTCTGCCAAGCAAAAGCTCCAATCTTCATCACAATGGTAACCTGGTGTAACTGAAATAGTTCTAAGTCCCAACATAATTAAACATCAAACATGATCAAGTCTCCCCCTTTTCTCATTTTGCTTAAACACACACACACACACACACACACACACACACACGTAAGGGCTGTCGAGCAATTACATGTTTTAATCTAATTAATTACATGATGTTCACATTAATCAGTCAAATCTCAGTCACACTGAGAATTTACCCCCCAAAAGATCCTTTAAAATCACTGTTAAAAAAACAAAAGCATTGAACAAACATTTTAAAAAGTAGTAAAATCTTTTAAGTCTACAGTGTGGCCATAGCATTGTTTTCAGGAGCTAAATCTGAAGTGGCATTTAGGTATATTTACACGGTTCAGTGGTGGCATGAATGCGTTTACACTGCAATTCCAATTGCATTAATAATCCTATGAGATTTAAATGGGTATTAATGTGTATAAAAATGAATATTGAAATGGGATTTTTTTT